CGGATGCTTCATCTTCAGTAGCCGCTATTGTTCAGAGCCTGACCATGATTTCAGTCACACTCCTTGAGTCTGTCCTCTGAACATTTGAGTCACCGGTGACGTCCTGCAGTCAGCACAGGGGGGAGCACCAGTGTGTTGGAAAGTAGAGTTTGTAGAGCAATAAGAACTATGTACACAGAAATATGCCGATGCTTTTGTAATCACTGCAGAAAGCCTTCTTTTTTTTTGATCAAACACCCAGAAATCATTAGAGGATATATTATAAAACCAAAACGATGTCCTGTTAGCCTGTCATCCTCGTTCACTGGATTTCTCTGCAACATCCGCGCTGCATTGATTTAACGACCTCATTCAAATGAAAGAGGCTGCTGCACACTTTGACACACAGCTGAAGACGACCTCAAAGACGCCTGAAGAAGAAAGTTCATGCAGGAGCCGTCTTAAAAGGAGGAGGAGAAACACCTCCACACCTAACAGCGCTCTGATTTCAGGGGGACCCACTCCAAATGTGACATTAATTGCTTTACCAAAAAATGTATCACCTTGTCTAATTATAGGCAGACAGTGAATTAAGTCTGCAATAAATGAGTCGCTGGACCTTTCAGGGCTTTCTTTGCCAGCTTTTGACTGACAGGAGAACATGACAGGCTGGCAGCCGGCTGCCCGCAGGGAGACAGAAATCAATAGCAGGTCTGCAATGGCGACGGAGACGAGGTGACTCGGGCTTTATATCAATGGATTAGTGAGAGGTAGCAATGGAAATGTGAAAGAGATTAAAAAAGGGAGGAAAATAAAAATGTGAGCAGCGATGTGTGTGTTTTAGTTCCTGTGTGTGTTCTGTGTGTGATCTTTCCTGTTTGCTGCCCTCATGCAGATGGAGTGTTTGCAGAGTGTGTGTGTGTGTGTGTGCGTGCGTGCGTGTAAGACAGAGATGGTCATCTCCTCAATAAATTGGCGTGTGATTTAATGGCGTGTCGTGATGTGCTGCCGTTAGCTCGACACTTTTAATCATCTTGAGGGAAATGTAGATAGTCATTTGAGATTAGTGGACACACACAAGCGCACGCGCGCGCACACAAACACACACACACACACACTCTGTTAAAACAGGTCGATTCAGTTTTATTAAAAAACACTTTTCCATCGCTGTGAACACGGCTTCACCTTTAAAACGTTTTTTCTTCATATTCAGAACGTTTTACTAAGATTGTGGGTTTTTTTATTTCTGTGTGGATTAAAGACAGAGGCCGTTGTGTTAACATTAAAATCAAAGAAATGTTTTGACTCTTTTTTATTGTTTTAACTGCAGTAAAAAAAACCAAAAAAGCATATTTTCACTACTTAATGTTAATACTTGGATAGAAAATTATGAAATATATGTGAAAATATATACAAAGAGTTAGGGTTAATTTTACGTGATTTATGTGTGTAATTAACTATAATATGAGCTCTCACATGAGTGCCTGTGACAGAGAAAATGCTTTAGTCCTTCATGTTCATCATCTGAGGCTTTCTTCTCTGGTGCTTTTGTTGTGAAATACTTTGATACTTTTATTTGGGCAGCGTGAATAAGTTACTCTAAATTCCTGCAAAGTCTGAAATTACTTTCATTCAAATGACCCCAGAACACCAAACACAGGAGCTGGTAATATATTAAATAGAGATTAAACGAGCTGCTTTGGCCACAGAAGGAGACGCCAAAGTTCTTCTTTGTTTCCTCACATGGGGATAATAAATCATACAACACTTCAATAGTCTGCTTTATAAGACTTTCAGTGCTTCACACAAATATACATGTCTGTATGTTGTTCTTCGGAAAGTTAACATGGATTTAAAGCATTAAAAGAATTTCTGACTCGTAAAGAAAACTTTTGTAACCGTGAAACGAATCTTTAGTCATTTTGATCAAAGCACTCGTGATTCGTGTGGTTTTGGAAAGCCCTGCAGTTAAAATGTTCTTTGTAAACCACAGTGCAGTGATGCCATACTATTTAAAATAGGCCACATGAATGGGAACGACTGTGTGTAGGGGGATATTCAGCTTTACGTTCAGTAAAACGATGTGCTGTGCTCCAGCCTGCAGTAATCATTCTGCAGCGTTGGCTTTCTGCAGCACTGTGCAATCACATTAGAAAGGTGTTCTTCATAAGACAGGCCACTCGGATAAGCATAAATCTACATAGCAGCAATTTTTTGCCCTCAATAAAAAAGTTAAATAACCGCAATATGCTCCGACCTGCAGTCGTCACATTAAAGTGTCACCTCTCTGAAGCACTGTGCAATCATATTACGAGCCGTCCTCGCATGGACGTAAATCTGCGGAGACGGACTGAATCTGTGGGAGGACGGAGAGCCCAGAACCTGGCCTAACAGTAATCTGCATAAAGTATCTGCAAGGAGGTGGCTCCTGTGAAATATGTGCTCAACATCCCACAACAGAAGGAGCAGAGCAGAGCCTCCAATCTGATGGTGGCCATGGAGAGGCACGAGCCCCGACCTGCTGACTGGATTCTGCTGAACACGCTGGAAGTAAAACCTCACCACCCGCCATCTTCCTCCTCTTTCTCCATCCTATCTGGTCTCTAGTCTTCCCCTCCGCCTCCATCTCCTCCGTGTGCTCGGCTTTGTTAGACTCCTTCTTTCCTCTGCCGTCATCACCTTGTACACAGACTTCCTTCTTTGCTGTCTCTTCTATAACATTCTTGTCTCTTCCTCTAATCATCCTTTCCTTCCCTCCTCTTTGCTCTCCTTTCATTTAGTCTGTCCACTCCTACTATCATATTATTTTACTACTTATTATTTTGTGTCTCTTTCTAAATAATTTAATTTTTTCTCTGACATATTCTTCCAATCCTATCCCTTTCTTCTTCTAATATTCCCCTCTCGCTTTGACATTAATCATTTTTCTTCTAAAACTGACATTTCCACCAATTCTGTCTGCAGCCAAAAATATCACCGCTACATACGCCTTTGTAGCAAAAATGCACGACATGTCTTCACAGCACTGCTGTAGGTCTGCTACATGACCGTGCTTTATGTTGATTAGCGATTAAAATGAAGGATAACCTACAGGTGGAGGAGGGTCTGTGGGTCCAAAAAGGGGGAAATCCCATCATCTAGAGACTGAAGTGGGCAAGCAGCTCATGGCTGACTCACAAAAATTACAAACGAAGCATCTGCAGCATGAATAAGACATTAATATATGACTGCAGCTCGGACCCACGTTAACGTCCAACCTACATTCTTTGATTTCCTGTCCAGCACGTCTGTGAACTGGAATTTTTCTCCTGCTATTTGAACAATAAAAAGAGAAATGATTTCTTATCAGCTCTGCACTTTTATATATTCATTTTATTTATTTTTAGCACCAAGCCAGAGTGTAAGTTATGCATCTCAGCAGCCCGGAGGCAGACAGGCTGCTGCCTGCTAATATAAACGCTGTCTCCTGTGACGCTGACAGTACTGGGAGGAGGTAATTGGGGTCTTTAGTCTGCAAACGGCGTCTCTCTCAATGGCGTTATTCACCCAGAGAAATCAGACGCAAGAGGATCGCATCTACTGTCCACTGCCGAGGTCGTTTTTTGCCGCGCTCATCGTTAGATGGCCGGTTAACTTTTTGGAGGAATAGTACCTCGGCCTTATTTCCTCGGTCTTGTTGCTATAGCGATCAGGAATATCCAACTGAAAATAATGACGTTTCTTTAACCTGCGCTGCACTCTGCAGACTCCGTCTGGCAGCATCGAGCAATAAGATTACCCAGTGCGTAACCTCTGCTGTTTGCTCCATCACCAACTGTAATTGTCTGGAAAGTCCTGCAGCAGTAATTTGTAGGACGGACCCTGTGAGCGGATTGTGTATGGGGCTCTCTATCACCGCTTAGAGTCTGTGCATGCAAATTAGGGCCACGCAGATATTAGTTACAACTGACAGGAGCCACTGTGTTAAAGGGCCTGCTGTGCTACCAGAATTAGCATCTTCAGCTAGGAGGACAAATGAGATGAGAGCGATCCTTTAACGCAGGGCAAACGGGGAGAAAGGTTACAAAGCTGTTGTAGTCCGTGCTCTACTCTAGACTTCATTTTACTTTTTATTTCCTGCACACTAAAGGTACACAATAAAAAATCTGTAAAATGAAGGAACTGTTTTTCTGATAATGAATTTTACAATTTACATAAACCTCTGTAAAAACAACATAATGGCAGAAAATTACCAGGACACAGGCTGCTGTGCAGTACTGCACATTCCTGCATTACATAAGGATGGCGGGTAGAATACAACACTGCCAAACACCACTACATGTGCCATTAAATGAGTCACAAGGATGACAAAAATAAATCATTCTTATAGCTGAGTTTGGAAAAACACTTTAAAAATGTTCTGTGTGAAATTTTAATGCTGGTTTTGTATCTCTGAATGAACCAGAACATCAAGTTCACTGATATGAAAACACAAGGTTGAAAGCTCACATAATATTAAAAACTGGCAGTTTTCCTGTCTCAGACAAAGTCCATTTTTTGAGTGGCTCCATGTCTTTGTCATTTAGTACAAACTGTTCTTATAGTGCTGTGATGAATGCAGTTTACTTAAAGCCAAACACTAGGAGAAGGACAGGTTTGCTGGTGTGATCACCAAAGTGTCTACATTTGTCTGTGTCAGGGAGGAAAAAAAGGTTTTCTATTGCCAGACACAACCGTCTGCAAACAATCATGGCTGACACTAAAGGAAAAACATCTGTCAGGTCAAAAGTGCACGCCTAAAATATTTTAAATATACTGAAATGCAGTTTTCTTAGTTATTTCTAGACATTTTCTGATAAAACCTCCAGCAAAACATCTCCACAGTTTAACCAAAAAGCATTTCCCTCATGTTCCTAATGGTGTCAACATCTGGAAAATGCCTCGTCGTTGCATTAAAGACAAATGATCACAAACGTTGGTGAGGGAAGAGCAGAAGTAGAAAGTAGAAAAAAGGGAAAAAGAAACAGGAAAAGGGAAAGTACCTTTCTTGTGAGTAGCTTCATTTTTGGAGCCTTTGGGGTCTAATAAAAAAAAGATGAGAATTAAACACAGCATATACTAACAACACGTTACCAACTACACGTTGTTTGTCCTCGTTAAGGAAAACAACCGCGTTGTCTATCAAGGAGCGAACAAGACAGCAAGGCTCGATTATCTATGGTGTCGCAACACTCTGCCAACACTCGGCCGGGGTGAGTGTGTGGCAGCGGGGGAGACTTGGGGAGGGGCGGGAGGAGGGGGGCAACATACTGTGAAGGCAATAGCAGGAAGGAGGGATGCATGAGACTGTAGAGAAACAATCTACTGCCATACTGCAGCGGGCAGGACAGGAGAGGCGATGCGCTGAGATGAAGAGGAGGAGAGTTGCAATGCAGTTCTGTCAAGAGGAGCTGAAGTAAAACTAGCAAAATGCACTACAGGAGATGCAAGAGGCCAGAGAGAAAGAGGAGGAAGAGGAGGAGGGCGGGGAGGTGCAAAGACTACATGTCAAACTGGCTTCATTTAGATTTTTCCCTTATCTTGACGGTTTTGACCTCGGTAATTTTGGGCAACAGGTAGACGGTGACTTACACATTTCACAACAACTCGAATGAAACAAAGCAGCCGATTCTCCGTCCCCATCGATATTTCGACTGGCAACAGAAATGGCACTAACCCTAAAGGAATGGATAAATGATCACCAATCTTAGATGTAATTCCAATTCTTCCTATTAATATGAAGTCATTTGGCTGAAATGGAGCCCATCTGGATGACAAAAGGTCCTACTTCAACCCCCCAAGAAAGTAACAGCCTCTCACAAACGGGCCACATTATATCGTAGCTGAGAAAGAGAACTTTTAGTCTGCACAAGGCTGATTGATAGTGGAAAAATGCCAACCCGCTAATGTCAAGGAATCAGAAGTTAAAGCCGAACGATTCATTGCTCCAAGATCTTTCCCCCATTCGCCCTTGGAAAGATAAAGACTTAGCCCGATGTGCCACTGAACGTCAGTGGCTCATCGGATTGGTCTAAAAAAGTTTAAGAAAGGAAACAAAGTAGAGATTTTCTTCATCAGCACATGCTCACAGCTGCCGGCTAAACTGTGATTTAACACCAAGCCGTCTAATTTTCTGCAAATCAAAGACTTCCAAATCAGACATAACGTCAGAGTCGACCTTCAGGTATTAAACGGTTCTCATGCACTCAACAGCAAACACATTTCATTTCAAGCTATTAAAATTTTCTCTTCCAGTTACTCAGAATTATGAACAGAGGCCAACAATGCGTCCTATCGATACACGCCGAGGAGACTGTCTTCCTTTCGTAACTCATGTTTGTTGATCGATGTCCTATTTTGTCTTCGAACTGCACTGAACTGAGAAAACCGGGCACATCCTGCTTTGCTGTACTTGACAACTGCCAATGTGAAGGATGGGAACTACACCCAGTAGAAGTCTGCAAGCGATATTGTAATCTGTCACTGTCAGCCTGAAAAAAAAGGGAAACGGCTTCTAAGATAGATGGAAAGTATTCGTCGTGACCATGAACTGTTGTAGACAGGTGACTTAAACTCTATAATCTGCCCGAATCCACCAAAGGCAATTTTTCCTCCCTCCTCTGTGCACGACAGTCTCTCCGTGTCAGGACTAAGCCTGGGCTTAGCCTCGCGGCCAGGCGGCCTGTCGAACATCACCTGATCCTGGCATTAATACCACAGCAGCTTTGGTTTTTTGGACTTTTGCTTTGCCAGCAGAGGGGATCTCGTAACGCAAGCTAATTACTAGCACTGTGCACAATGAATTCTCCTGGCTTTGCAGCAAAGGTACAGAAATGAAACCAGAGGAAAAGAAAAAAGCTCGCCTCTGCGTTCGAAGCAAAGATGCTTTGTCAGACAAATACAGGGTTTTCCCCGAATGCTTTTCTCTCTACTTATACCCCAGGGTCCCTCCATCAGCCGAATGTTGGACGCATCTGCCACGTAAAGCCCGAGAACAGCAGCCCGTGGCCTGATTGTGTGGGGGAAGTGAACAATTACACGCCAACCTCTCCATCAGGCTATTTAAATGGATTTGGTGGGCTTAAACCTTTTTTCCTCTGGCTAGTAATTAGAGGTGCGACGGCGCAGGAGGACCGAATGGCCCTTTATAAGGCAGTATTCCCCTCCTTATAAACTTATTAGCCACGGACCGGTGGACTGCAGAGGGAGGAAGACAGAGTAATGTACCCATCGACTCCTTTTACACATCTCAGAGTGGCTGTGTGCAGCCTAAAGCTAAAGAAGGTTTTTGCTATCTGAGGATCAAAAGGAAACAATAATAATGTGAGCTATTTAAAGCAAACAGAAGAGGAGAGGAATTCATTCATTTCGACAACATGGCTCATTTGACAGTGCTCTAATTGCCAGCTTGATCATTTCCTGTTCGGCTCACGATAATGAACAGATTTAAACTTTTGACTGCAGAAATTAATCCGACCACTCTCATTCGCCTCTTTCCTCCACCTCTTAGACTCCTCTCGTCCGTTTTGGTGCCCTCACCATCCTATTCAATATTCCTCTCTTTGCTGCCCTTGCCGTTCTGCCTCCTCCTGCTAGACGCTCAACTGTGATCAATATTTTTGTCATAACTCTGGGGAGAGTCACCTCTGTGACGACATTAAAGTTCCTCTCTCCTTGCAATATATCCCTCATCCAAATTTCCTGGCTTGGAAAGGAGAGGGCCGTTACCTTGAATACTAAGAGAGCCACAAGACCTTCCTCTGGGCGAGAATGCCCACTCACCCGAGCAGATTTCAGCGCTTGCATCCTTGTAGAGTTGAGAAAAAAAGAGGAGGGTGTAGATATTGTAGTTTGCATCCCAGAGCTGCTTATTCAAGACTGCTGCAAGTGTAATACATAACTGAGGAACACTGGGTCCACTGGGAACTGTGTTAGCATCAGAGTTCCAGCTCTAAGCGAGCACAAATCTGTTCTGTGTGCAGTGCGACACCCTGCATTTCACTTCTGCCACCTGCACTTCTTCCTAATCTCCCATCGTGGGCAAATCCCTCCAACTTGTGTCTTTCACTTTGTCTTTCTCTCCCCCCACTTGCTCTCCCATCCATTCCCCCCCCCCCCCCACCCGCAGCCATTCCTCCATCCTACGCTCATTACCTTATGCCCATTAATCCCATTAAGTAGCCATTAAACAAGTGCTGATAACACCAAATGAACGTCAAGCTCTGACAGCTAATAACTAAAGTCCCGCCTCGGCACGTTCAACTCCAGCAAGGAGAGAAGGAGGAGGAGGGAGTCGCACAACACAAGAGAAGCAAAGAGTTGTGTAGCTTTGTGCAGCAACAGCTCCTCCAGCTGTGCAAGGACAAAGTGAGGAGGAGAAGGAAAAGAATCTCTCGTCCCCTGTGCATATTTACTCAGGTCCACCGAAGCAAAGTGACGCAGTGATGATTTTTCAGTGAGAGGTCTTTGATATCAGGAGGAGGGAGCTTTGCCAAACAAAATAAAAGGACTGTTTCAAGGAGCAAACACGAGCTATGAAGCAACAACGGGGCCGCTCAAGAGTGCAGAAGATGAAAACCTGCTGAAGCACAGATTTTAAAGCTGGTGACACACTCAGTGTCTTCTCAGGCAAAAAGCCCTGCCTTGCAAACACGGGGGAGTCGGAGGGTGGGGAGTTTGGTTCGCCAGTGGCCTGTTCAGGTCGAGCCTGAAACCAGGAGCTTGGTCCGAGTCATTGGCCTTGCTGCTGCTCGGCTTGAGTGATGAGGAAGGACAAGGTTATGGCGGAGAGGGAGAGGAGAGTTGTAGTCGGCACCATTCATCAAGCGTGCACGAAGACACACACTTGGACACAAGAAGAATTACACAAACCCTCCTCTCCCTCATTGGTTCCCTCGCTAACCCCCCATCTCTCCCTCTCATACACACTCCTTTATCTCCACAGCGCTGTGTGGCCATTCATTACCGGAGTAGTGCATCAGAAGGACTCGGTGCTGCTGTCTGAGGAAGTAAAAAAACCTCCTGCATGACCTCACCTGCTACCTGCTCACCTGACCAAATGTTTCAAGAGACAGATGCTAAAATAAAGGAGGGCTAAACAGATAAATAGGGGACAATTTCTTTAATAATGAACTTGTCTTTCAACCACCGATAAGGAAAATGGATATGCAGGAAGAGATGAGGAAAATAAAAGGAAGAGGGAAGAAAAATGAAGATTAAAATATAAGAGAATAAAATAAAAGATCTGATCACTATGCAGAAATAAATAAGACCAAATGATGTGTGATGAGCAAGGAAACTAATAAGGAAGCAAAAATTAAGAACGCAGCTATAAGCAGCAGACAGAAATAACGAAAAGGCAAAGACAGATGTGAGGTTTGGATGAAACACTGTAAAAACTGAGAAAGCAGGAAAAGAGAAATGAACGTAGGATGAAGTCATGGATTATAAACAGCTCGTCCTGAATGTGTCACGAGTGCTTGCTCTCCTCTCTCCAGCAGACGAACTAAACTAAATCATACACTGGACCCCTGCACCGGATCACTGGGATTTCTTCTCGTGCTGCCATAGTCATAGCCTGGGGCAGATCTCATCACTTCCCCATCCTGTCCCCTCCCGCCCTCCATCTACTGTGGCAAAATTAGCAGGGCTGGTGCTAATTGGATGAGCATGTATGATGTGTAGGAGGGAAAAAGAGGAGCACGGGGAGCTCACAAACAAAAAAACAAGAAAGAAACTATTTATGACATGCAGCAGTGGTGAATGAAGAAGAAACACCCAGTGCATCATGGGAATTCCCCAGCAGCCTACGCCTTTTGCAGCATAACTAAGGGAGGATTGAGGGTCACCTGATCCAGCCCTAACTATGTGCATTAGCAAAAAAGAAGGTTTGAAGCCTAATCTTTAAAGTAGAGATAGTGTCTGTCTCCTGAATCCAAACTGGAAGCTGGTTCCTGGGGCCTGAAAACTGAAGGCTCTCCCTCCCGTTCTACTTTTAAATACTCTAGGAACAACAAGTAAGCCTGAAGTGTGAGAGTGAAGTGCACTAATGGGGTGATAGTGTACTAGGAGGGGATATGATGCTTTCAGGACTTTGCACGTGAGAAGGAATTTAAATGTATTTCTGGAAACAACCAAGATCAGCAAGGTCAACGAAGGAAAGATAAATCTCTCTTTTTTAAATCCCTGTAAATACTAAGAAATTACAGTAGTCCAGCCTGGAAGTAATAAATGCATGAACTAGTTTTTCAGCGTCACTCTGAGACAGGATGTTTCTCATTTTAGAGATATTGCACAAATGGAAGAAACCAGTCCTACATATTTGTTTAATATGTGCACTGAAGGACATATCCTGGGGTTCCTCACAGTGTTACTGGAGACTAAGGTAACGCCATCCAGAGTACAATACACTCAGTTTGTTGTGAATTTAGATTTACATTTGCTATGTTCCCCATCATAAAATAGATATCAGTTTTACTGTAGACAGAATATCTCAAACAGCACGTGGGAGGCGTTCCATCCAGTAAAATAACGGTGGTACACAACAAGAAACAAAAAGATATTTGAAAAGCAGGTCAATATTAAAAAAAGACACCAAAATGGATTCATATAAATAATACAACAGTGAAGCTAAATCTAGTGTGTTTCCACTCCAAGTGCTTCACACTACAAGGCTCATCCATCCATCCTGCACCACACAAATCCTTCTCACTCTCGCTCTGATGGATGCTTCAGGGCCAGTTTGGGGTTCACTGTGTTGACCGCCTGATGTCACCTGGATGGTCCCGGGGTTTGAACCACTGACCTTTCAAATGGTGGCCACCCCACTCTGCTTCCTGAGCCATAGTTGCCCCAGGCACTGACCCGACTTCCTCGGGCAGCTTGTTTCGTAGCTGTGCGGCTCTGCATGTGTTCACTTCTGCTGGTTTTAGTTAAAAAAAACAACAACTTTGTTCTAGTCTAAATTGGAAATTGTGCAAAAGACAAAATGAAACTGTGTGACGCGCCCAGTGTGTTCTCAGGGTAATACACAGTTATCAGGGTGTCTTCACCGTGTTGGAGAATGTGCACAGGTGACGGTGACGTTTCCACTACAGCAGCTGACAAGCATGCTAGTTGAAGGATCCCTTCCTTAAAAAGCTTCTAAGGAAACACGTTCGAGCGATCCGTGTGCTGAATGCCACATCATTACAGACACGTCACTTATTAAAGTGTTCCCACTTAGCATGTTATGGTGATGATTATTTTTATTATAATACCCCCATGCTATTCTAGTTCTTCCTTTTTTTGCTCCCTGCCTGACTCCCCTACTGTGCAAGTACATTTTTTTTGTTGTTGTTTCTTTCCCCCCGAGTTTACGAGGCCGCCGAGCTGTCAAGCTGTTTATTTCATGGGTGTGATTAATGCAGGGGTGTAGTCGGCTGGTAGGGGACGCACACAAACACACACACTTACACACAAAAGACTGCATGAATGAGCAAGTCGGAGAGATCACGCTGTGTTACTCTGTCGACCTGACAACCATGACAGAATCTGGAAGTTCATGTCGGGCTGTCTGCTAACGATGGCCCCTGACACAATTAGCTGAGCACATTATATAAAAGATGGGCTCCTCCTCCTCGTCCATACGTATCTTCATTACAGATCTGCGTTCGTTACAAATTTACCCCAAAACAGAAAGTATCTGACATCTGAGCTCATTTAAATAAACGTGTCTGTGTTACAGAGGACATTGGGACTCTTATTATTCTGTGCGTGTGCGGCACAGCGCCGGAGAGTAATTTCATCTGCATTAAAAAAATTTATTACATCGCATTAGAAGAAGGAAAAAAAGATTAAAGCTATAAATTCAAATAACTGCCACACATGCCTGTTTAAATCCTGATTTGTAAAGGTCAGTGCAGTGCTAGCTTCAGTAAATCGCGCGGGAGTGTTGCTGAGCAGAGCTGAGGAGAAATCAAATTAAAAAAACAGAAATGATCTCCAAAATCGGCTCGCGACAAACACCTGAGCAAACCCTCGGCAGGTCGGCCATTCTGTAGCCAAGGCAGGTTTAATAATGCGCACTTAGTCACAGCGAAAACCCTCTGCTCCTCTCAACCCTGTCCTGCGTGAACCGAGATATCCTGCTCACCATATAATGGGTTGTACCATTATGGGCTCAGCAAAGAAAAAACAGAAGAAGAGAGAAGCTCCATGGCAGCATTCAGAAACAAAGCTGTGATTCACTTGTGCACATTCTGTGTACCTGTGTGCTCAGTGTACAAAATATTAGCAACACCTTTAAATTTCACCTGTTTTTGATTTAGAGACGACGGGCAGATGCAGAGCAGCAGACAAATAGCATCGCATGCTGACCTGACGCAGGCAGCGTTAGGTAATGTACGTCATCCCTCCAGGTTTGATCACCGCCAGAGATCCCAGAAAACATCTGGGTGAGAAGTGAACGGCAGAAATCTTTTCAGGTTATTGAAAAGACGAAGGCGAACCTTCTTTCTACCCCAGCAGGTAACATGCCACTTACTATATTACACACACACACACACAAGCAGAGTGCTTAACAAATATATTAGACCACCAACAAATTAGTGGTTTATGCCACGGCTGACCTGAATGGACCAGGCAGGTTCTGTGTGTCGCAGCGTTTTTGTGTTTCTGTCTAGAATGAATTCGGATAAAGTCTCATGTTAAAAAACACATTTTCAAGGTCAGCTTCATGATTTATTGGTGGGAAACTAACAAAAAGTCCAATAACTTAAAATATTCTCATCTTAACATCTAAAGGTTTAAGACGTCACGTCACATTTGACCTCTGACCTCTCCTTCAAGGTCAACAAACTGATGTGAAGGTCAAAGTTATAATAATGATTTATGGAGATATTTAAAACTATGTTTCTTACTCCCATCTTTTCAATGTCGATCTTGTTTGTGTTGGAAACGTTTGTTTTATTAGGTATTTTTTATGTATATTTTTCATCTAACAGGTCATAACCACAATTCCTATACTAGGACGATGCTTTATCTTATTAATATATTTTTATTATAAACCAAAATACACTTGGTGTTTATTACAAAACATTTAAAATATGAATAAATCATGAAATAAATACTACACATGTACTATATTCATTTAAATAAAAAAATATACAAATATTTTAGTAGGGTACATTAAAATGTGTTTCAGTGGGTTTATTAAAGTATGTTTAAAAAGAAGAAAGAAAAAAATGAGAGCCGCCTCAGAGGGGAAGCTCTCTGAGAGCTTCCTGTTTTTTAATGTTTCTCGTTAATCCAGCAGAATGCTCTTTAATTAAAAATATAATCATGTAATATCTTATCCATGAATTTTAAAGTTTACAGTTTTATGAAAAAGCAGTGAAGCACATTATTATTTTGCATCGATGAACAGTAAAAATGAGTTTTAGTTATTTTTATTTTACATTTCTAAAATATTTGACAGATGGTCTCATACATTTGTGAAGCTCTGTATACACACACACACACACACACACACACACACACACACTGATCTGATCACAACCATTTTACATGAAACAGATCAGATCAAATTGAGCCAAGTGTAACGGCCATTTAGATATTTATAATTATTAATTAATGGTTTGGCAAATCTTGATAATAACCTGAAAAGGTTCACTTTTCACTAAAACTTGGACAGCGCCTAAAACGTGCGGTGATTGGGTGATGGGTTCCCGTGTGCTTTTGAGGTTCATGTTAAACCTCCTGCAGACCAAACTGCTGCCAGGTAAGACTCAAACTCCTTACACATCCCACTGATCTGCTTCTGATCAGACTTGGAGGGGAACTGAGCGTACCTCTCACTAACATTTGAACCAATCTTCATCCTTTAAGTGACGACAGTAGGACAAGATTTACTGTCTGGACTGCAAGGTGCCAAGGATAGCAATGCTTTGGCAGCCATATATAAAAAAAACAAGTAAGGCACATGTTGTAACAGGTGATTAAAGGTTAATACTTAAGGAAGACGTGTTGATAAAAGCTGGAATATCACCGGGGTACCAATATTTTGTACACATGACCCAACAAACCTAACGGAAGACATTAGAAATTTCTCACATCCACTTTATAAAATCTCAGTTCTGGCAGTTTTAAACATGCAGCAAGGCTTAAATGTCAGAAAAGCACGAGGGGAAATCAGTTTGTCTGTCTGTTCAGATGCTTAAAGATGCTGTAAATGTATTTTTAACCCATTGCATTAGTCATAGACTTTGGTGGATACGGAGGGCTGCCCCAGTTCTCTCATGTCCAGTCTGTGTTCCTAATGCAAGAAGTTTAAAGCAGAAACCTCTGACATGTGTCTTTATGGGGGCTTCCATTCAGGGAGGTCACTTAAAACTATATCGTCATCATCATCATCATGAAATCATGGTCAGCAGCACACTCATGGGAGAGAGGCACATTACCTTGACCACCAAAACAAGCACTCAGGATACTGTGTGGATACCAAGGAATGTAGCCAACTAGCTTAGTCCTTACTGGGGATTTTGTCATCTTACCATATGATTGTGGGTAAAAGTGCAAGGCTGGACTTGTGTTAGGGGAAGAAAAGGTGGGGGGAGGGAGTTTGGGGTCTGACACCTAAACTGAGCCGTGGGAAGAATTACCTTTGTTCCACACTGCAAAGGGCAAATACAGAGATCGACAAATTGAGAACAGACAAAAACATTGAAGTGATTAAATATACAGCAACAAAGTTTCAGCAACATCGATGTCTAAACATGTTATTTTCCTTTTTTCAGTTAAGCTAATAAATACAAACCTTATCTTTGGTGACATTCTTGGCTATACAGGCATTTAGAGAAGGTAATAAAATGCAGACACAGCGCAGGTCTTTTCAGGGTACGTTTGGCTACATTCCTGTTTTATCCGACTGAGTCTTGGTGGCAACGCCTACCTTTAAAATTTGGTCGGATTCTGGCATCGTACCCCGAAACCTTGCCCATGAGCTTGTCCAGAAATTCGGACGGTGGCATCGGGGAGGCAGCTTTCCTCGCTGCAGCTTCTTTGGATGCTGCCAAGCTAGAAGAGAGAAAGGTAGACATGGTCAGCAAGAGAGGAATGGTGGATCCCAACAGATTTATGCAGCCTGGCAGTGTTACAAACAAACAATTACGTTTCATGTAAATGATCCAAAAAAGACCTGATTAACCCCAAAGATTACATAAACCCCGCCATTCAAACCTTTTACTGGCAGACATGTCTGTGAAGGTTCTTAGTCATCCAGGTCATCGTAGTCTAAGGAGCTTGGAAAGTAAGGCATCTGGACTTCTTTAAGTTGCTTGAAGACATTTCATCTGAGAAGCTCCTTCAGTTCCAAGAGCAAATGGTGGAGAGTCCCAGATTTTAAGCCCTATGGGAATGTCCCCCCCAAGAGGGTCATGGATTGATCCTCTACCTCTACATGAGCCAAGGTGTGAAAACGGGTGTAGGTCACAATCAACCAAGTTACGGGTGAATCCATAGTGAAGCCTAGTCCCACCCTATCATGTAATTTACAGAGGTCAAATGCCCCAGGGTGTGAGTGGGCATTAAGGCATCTGGGAAGAGATCTCAAAACTGGATTATAAATGGCAGAGAGTCAGTGTCATAAGCCCTCTGTTCAATGATGGTCATTCACAGTGGAGATAAATGGCTTCTTTCACTCCTCTTTCAAACCATCTGTCTTCTCCGTCCAAAATGCTTAAAATCTGGGATCCTCCACCAGTTGCTCTAACAACTGAAGAAGCTTCTCAGATGAAATGTCTTCAAGAAATTTACAGTAGTCCGGACGCTTTTCTTTCCAAGCTCAATAGACTTTAAGTGAACCTCATTTCCTCATTTCAATGACCACATCACCATAAAAGAATTACAGAGCTAAAATCACAGGTTGGTGCACTTTCACCCAAACATGATGTTTCTCAAACACAGATGAAAAGCAGCCATCACGGGTCATGAACACAGGCTGTCATGTGTTACAAGGAAATCTGACGAAAGAACCAGAGCATGGCTGAAGTGTACGAAAAGCCACAGCGTACGTACTCACATGTAAGTCTGAGCTGTTGATGGCCTGAGAGCACATCTTTTACTCTAGTTTAAAAAAATTTGGTAACAAAACACGTTCATTTGTGATTCTAATCTATAAAAACAATGTACCCGTGTGAGAAAAAGCTGACAGGCAGATTCTTTGTTGTTGTTGTTCATTTTAACAAAGAGGTAGTTCACACTAATAAATGATTAAATCAAATATCTTAAAAATCACCTTTGGTCCTCTGGAGGTTATCCCTGCTGGCATAAAGCAGCTCCCATCCACACCACAGATTCAAATCAAATTAAATTTATCCTCATTTGATTTCATTTCGTTTTATCTATTTTAATTAAAAACTGACTAATTAAAACTTTACAGTCTGTGACTTTAACGCCTGGCTACAAGAAACATGCTTATTCTTTTCATGAAGTTGTTACTCAAATGCTGTGATTCACTTAACCAGCTCCCATTGATTTTGCAGTTCAGTTCTTTACCTTATTAAGCTCATCATGCTCATTAGATGCTCTCTGCATAATGCCAAATCCCCAGCACAGCCTTGAGCCCACAGACATACAACGAGTCCAGAGCAAACAGTCAATAACGCTGAACACACAGACGATGATGGACTGCGCTAAAAACCAAAGCGAACAGCTACGGCACATCAAAGAAAGACAAACAGGCACCAAGCGGCTCTCCTGTTGCCATGAGGATCACTGTGGTGACCCAGCTGAAAATATTGGTCTTGACAGATATAGTAAATGTCAGTGCAGCTTGGGACATAAACGCTCCTGCATTTATTGAAATGAAGATGAGCTGTGTTCGTTACCTACAAATGTGGCAAAAAGTCCAAGTCATTAAACTTCCCACTGCGAGGCCTGAAAATATACTCAGCATTTTACTGCAGGGGAGCATTCCTAACTCAGAGCTTAAAGCTAAACAACAAGGGGCCTATTACGCTTTCTGTTATTTTCTGTCATATTAGTTCTCTCATAATGGTAGTGAGGAAATTTCTAATGATGAGGTCAGCGTCTGTACAAGTTCAGTTCAATTCAATTTTATCTATATAGCATCAAATAAAAAAATAAAAAAACAGTTGCCTCAGGCACTGGTACAAAAAGCTGCAGGCTGCAGTAAAATCTCTTCATATCATTATCAGACACAAAGTTCTGTGAACACATTGCTGTTCAAACCTCTGTTTGCAAGAGGAGGCCAATCAGAGGAAAGCTGGATTTAAAGGGAGGCAGAGGATGAACTGAGAGGCACAGACCATCGTGAGTCAGTCTGCAAAATCTCACTTCAATTTATATGGCATCAAACCAACAGAACAGTTGTCTCAGGGTAATTTATAGTGTAAGGTAATGAGCTTCTCACCTGGAAAAAAAAATCTGTATTTAGAATAGGACTATCTGAAACTCGTACATGTAAAAAAATCACAATTACATCCTAATAGATTCCAAAAATCTATTAGGATGAGGAAAAATCTGTTTCCCACTGTTGAAGCCTTCCCAAACATCCTTACTTTATAAAACAACATATCTCCAAAACTTTGGATATTTCAGATCTGAGCACCAAATGCAAGCTTCTGCAGCTGTTCCAGCTGTCGTGACTCCGAGCTGATTATTAGTTATTGATGTGGCTTTTAGTTCCTGTGCCACAGCCTGTTTGAACCCTGTGGTAATGCACGCCTCTGAATTTGGAATTAAATGCTTGGCTGCTTCAGTTGGATAGAAAGCGAACTGACAGTGACTCTGAACTGACCCGTGGCCCGACAGTGGAGGTGCATTAGTGGCCACTTGTAGTACAGTTTGTATTTCATTGCATCATTTCCTGCTGGGTCCAGAGACAGCACGGACAGCAGTGCGATCCGAGCTATAAATACGCTGCTGAGCTGACCCACTTCATCTGACCGCAGCTCCACGATGAGCTTTGTTATCCAGGAAGACATGAGAAGAACTCTGAAAACCTTTCACCGTGCCAGCTTTGTCCTAATGAGTCGATGAATTAATCAGCAATGAGGACTGAATGAGGACTGGGTAACTATTAGTTTCTGTTCTTCATTCTCATTCATATTTTTTGGATTTTTTTAAGTGTAATTAGTTTAATTAAATTCTACAAATACACTTTCTTCCATGTCAGTGTCCCTAAGAAAGTAGATAAAAGCATGTAAGCATTTTTCTAGCACCTGTCATGACAGTAAAGGGGTTAACTACTGAACGTCATAATCAGAATACTTTATTAATCCCAGAGGAAATTATGTGGTCACTGTTGCTCCATGACAAAAAAAGCAAACAAGTTAAAGTACTACAGTTAAAGTAAATAGCTTGAATATAAAAATATCCCTGATATAATACACAAAAGAAATATAAACTATGAAGTTGAAATTAAGGTGACAACAGTAAAGGATGTGCAGAATGTCATGGTCCTGGGTCTTTTGACCCAGCGTTTTAAGTTTGAGTTTATTTTGTTCATTAGGTTATCTAAGTTCATTTGGTTATTAGACTCCTTGTGTTTTCTTCCCCTGTATTTAAGCTTCCCCTCACCCTTCGTGTTTCATGCTGCATGTCTTATGTTATCAAGTTTGTATTATCATGCCTAAGTGTTTCTAGTTATTATTTCCCCCTCGTGTTTCCAACCATGTTAAATCTCCCCTGCTCTTCATGCGTTTCATGTCTGTGTCTTACGTTGTCAAGTTCTGGTTGTCGTGTCTAAGTCTGCATGTTTCCTGTTTTATTTTGAAAAGGGGTCTTGTGTTCTGTGCTCATGCGGTTAGTTTTACTCTTGCCTGTGCATCATTATGTCTATCCTAGTCAGCTGTTTCCTCATGTGTCTCCACTTCCCCTAATCACCTGCTGTGTATTTAAGTCCTCTATTTTCAGTGTGTGATTGTCAGGTTGTCTGTTGTCCACGCCATGCTATGCTTCCAAGTTTCTTGTCTAGGTTTTTCTTATTGTTTGTTTAGATTCCCCAGTTTAGGTTTGTGTTAATTTTGCTTCAGTTTGCCTTGCCCTTTGTTTGTACCCTTTCTACCAGCCATATTAAACGGCTCACCTTTTGTTAACATTCAAGTTTTGTTCCCTGTTCCTTGGAGTCTGCATTTTGGGTCCTTTTTTCAATTCATACAGTCTGCCCTCGCCAGACTGTGACAGAACGACCTGACAATGCAGACTTAGACACGACAACCAGAACTTGACAACGTAAGACACAGACATGAAACGCATGAAGAGCAGGGGAGATTTAACATGGTTGGAAACACGAGGGGGAAATAATAAGAACTAGAAACACTTAGGCATGATAATACAAACTTGATAACATAAGACATGCAGCATGAAACACGAAGGGTGAGGGGAAGCTTAAATACAGGGGAAGAAAACACAAGGAGTCTAATAACCAAATGAACTTAGATAACCTAATGAACAAAATAAACTCAAACTTAAAACGCTGGGTCAAAAGACCCAGGACCATGACACAGAACCGCGGGGCTTTGTGCTTTCAAACTAAAATCTACGCCATAACTGCAAGCCCCTCTGAAACCATACCCCGCAACCTGATGTGCATCTCACTGGAAATGTGACTGCACGTCTGTTCAGCACCGTTGATTCGTCCTGTGCATTTCTACCTTTTCCCTGCAGTTTTTAAGTTTATCAGTAAGAGAATAGCCATCATCATTTCAACAGAAGGAACAATAATCATAGCATCAATGTAAGGACTGAAACATGTCAGAAAGTTCCTGTAGGGAGATTGCTGAAACTATCAGAGTGTACAAAGAAGTGGAAAAACGTGAGGGACAAAGATGTCCGACCCCCGGAAAGAATGCCCAGAACAAAGAGCAAGTGCCCAGGAGGGAAAAGGTCCCCGCATCTAAGGCGCTTCTATCTAGACTAAACAACGATGTCGTAGTTACATCATAGCTCTACAAAGACTCACCGCAGAGCTCTGAGTCACGCCTTAGTTAGGTTTTATTAAATAGTTCCTCTTATAATCTTTACTTGTTAATTTATGTATTCTCTCTCTTTCT